TTCCAAACAGTTATCTATATAAGTTAGTCAATGTCCGTTGACCGGATACCATCAGCAACAACCTACTATAGGAGAGATTAAACCAATTTCCAAATGAAGAGCAAATTAGGAAAAGGCATACATTACGAAAATCATCAACCTGCATCACGAGGCAAGCCCTAACTTGTAATCCAGAAGGGAAACGGAAAAATGAGTGATAAAAGAACATAATGAGTCTAGAATTGGAAGCAGACATCAAAAAAATAAGTATCAGTAGGAAACAACTGTAAAAGATTGTCCGGTACAGAGTTGGATGGAGAATGTTTATGGGAGACCTATGCTCCTCCACTAGGAGTAACAGGCGTAGATAAGTAAGTAGTGGTGATCATGTGTCCAGTAGTGACTAATTTTAAGAAGCGATTCTCAGAGTTCTAGTAGAAAGTTGTGACTTGTAGATTTCAACTATGTTGAAAGCGAGACAGTTAAGCTTGTATGACGTTGAACAATTGGCGCTCAATATCATGAATTAATTAAGGTCCGACATCTAAACTGTCGGATGTTATCCTAGTGGTTTAAAGTTTTTATACAATCATCATGAAACATGATAGTCCTCAGTACCAAACCTAATATGATGATAGATACTCAGTACTGAAAAGTTTCATTTCACCACGAAATAATCATCTAATGGTTCTTAGTTTTATCTGATATCCTAACTCAGATCATGCTAAGAAGAATACAACCTACGAGTTTTAAAAGTGGTTTGAATTGAAGGTGTATGGAAATCAGTTTAATGTGAACTGTAAAAATCAGAAATGTTAATTAGGAAAGGAAATAGGATAGTAAATTGATATGGGGAAATCTACAATGTTTATCCTAATGTCTTTAGTGTCCAGTTAACCCATAAAAAGTGTTGATTCTATACTGTTCAAGATTTAGAATTTACAAAATGCTACAACTTCTGTATTTTGATGAAGTTTCAATGGTATTACGGGTTACTTTATAACTATCACTAATTACATTCTGAATTCTGTGAATAATTGGATTTGATTGCATTATCTTAAGAGAAATTATAGGGAACTAGAGTTTCTTCAAGAATTTACAACGGAATTTATTTGAGGTGAGTTTACATTTCGACTCTAAAGCTAACTGATATACTTTTTTTTTTTCTACATAAAGGCAAGTAAATTTATGTTTAGCACATAAGAATAATGAGGATTCAGTGATTGAACCATCCAATTATTAACAGCTAACTTTTTAATTTAAAAATCATAATACACACTTATTTCAGCAAACAGATAGTATCATCACTCGCTAAACAAAAATTGTACTTTAAATATAAGTGAGAGTCGATTTATGATACAATGATCCATTAAATTTAGTTAACATTATACCTAGTAACAAGATCTTCGAATGATATTCGTTTATACTAAAGTAAAATTGATTGTATGATGACAACAAACATTATGAATCAATATATTTTCAGAATCATCTAAGCTACTCAAGATGGTGGAGGTTTAGTTTATGTATGTGTTAGGATAGTTGAAAAAATATACCAATAATTATCGTGTTAAGTCTATGGTGGCCTTGGACCTTAAATGTACATTTCCTATTGGTGGATGTTTATTTCACTTGTTAAATATTGTGTAAATGTTGTCCTCTATTTTATGGTACGATGTGGTTTGTTTGGTTAGTATATAAATAGAGTATGTCTGAAATATAACGATTCATAACTCAGAGGCTGTGACTTGTGTTCTGGACTCAACTGGCTAGGACAGACAGCGAAGCAGGGCCAATCAGGGCACTAGGTCGTCCTTACGTGTTTACGTGTCACTGTCCACTGTAATCGATCAATAAAACGCTGCGTATCATAACCTGCAGTCCACCCGTTACAACAGTATGGTTGTCAATCTTTTTATTCAATCGGTTTTTCTACCGTTAAGTACTAGGTTGTTGTAGTGTGATGTGTGTGCTACTTATATTGACATAAGCAGTATATGACCTTAGTCGTGAACGGAATGTCTGGCAACAGAGAGACAAGAGAATCTTTGATTTAATTTCTAAGGTGAAATATATAAGTTTCATCGAAATCACGAACTAATCAATATTAGACCATAATTGAAAACCTAGAAGCACAGGACGCCCATTTTGTCTTAACATGAAGCTTCTTAGTAGTACGCAACCACAATCCCGTAAACTGGGATTGAACCCAGAATCTTCAGTTTCTTGCGTAAAAGCTTACCTTCTAGACCTTTAGAGAAATCTCTGCAACCCCATATTAGAATATATATGAATTTAAAAAGGGAGACGGATGATACCTCACCTCTTGACTCTTTTCTAACTAATTTACATTGATAGTACTTTCATTATCGTTAACTGACACATTAGATAAAGGATACCTGAGCACTGATCACCACGTCGCGCAATACTGATTAATGTTGATGATGGTTAGAAGAAAGTTAGGGATGGCCAAACCAAAACGTGGCATCAGTCCACAAATTCACTAACATCTAGTCTGAGCCATGTTGGTAAATGCAGACTGCTTGGTTAGGGTCAGTATGACTATCGTAACCAATGGTTGGTAACTCTGTGTGACATGACTCAGAATCTATCATAATGGCGTAGGAGTATACACCATTTTTCTTTTCTTAAAGTATGAGATTAAAATAGCTTTATATCTTTCTTTCTACCAAATAATTCTTTCTTCCTGTACTATATCTTTATATGCAGTCTTTCTTTTATATATTACCACCATTGAAATAATTACTTCTATGAATTTGGTGTTAACCTTGTTGTGCTAATGAGGTGTGGCAACTTTGACCGGCACATATATGCGCCTGGTCCTACATTGTAGCTGATTGACTGATTGATGCACCTAGATTTCGTGCTAACTGGCATTCATCAGTTAACAGTACCTGAAATCTTCAGGGAATTAATACTCCTTATATCACTGAAACCTACAATAACCAGTTCTACATTGTGAGATGTTACCACTGAGTCATTTGAACAGCGACTGACTTTCTGTAGAACTGAGATATTAACATTAGTCAGTCATTGAGTGTTGATAAATCAATGTAAATGAAGATATTGTGGTCAGTGGTCACAACATTACTAAATATTCAATCAGTTATATATTTAACAGTTTCTGGTGTTTAAATTATCAATAATTTTGATAGAGTTTTGTTCTGTGAGCTGGATGGTTTGGTCGTGGAGCTTTCATCGTTATTCTGAATGACCTCATCAGCACAAACTTCACCTAGAAGTGAAGTGTTCGAATTTCTCCACATGTGGTTCACAACTTGTCCTGTGCACCTCGATGTTGATTTTAAACCTGTTATTGTTTACTTCTTTGTTTTGGTTGTATCTCTCGATGGGAGATATCAAAGAGCAAAGCTGCATCAAAATTATCCACCTGAACTACATATCTTCTCCACCATCTCAATTATCAATAATCAGTAAATATAATGATGCAAACCCACTAAACATTATTTTGTACGGAATCATCAAGGTTGAACAACGTAACCTTCCTATGTATATAGTAATATGACAAAAACTGATTATAATTTAAAATGTAAAAGATGACATCTATATTCATAATTTGGAGCTAGCCGTTCTAGGTATACTACATACAAAAAATGACAGTAGATTCGTCGTTAAGAAGGAACTTAAACACAAAATGCACTTGAACTAGACAATACATAGATTTATAAGCAAAGATAAATGATAGCTAATTGTGGAATCTAGGACGCACTTTCCGTTCTATTTCGGACTCGTCAGCTGGATATACCTGCATCTCAGAGTTGATGTTCACTCATCAGTGGAATGATTCAAGTAAAATAGCACCAAGTGAAGTTAAACTCGACCCCATTGCACAAGCATGTGGCTATCAGGACTCAGTAACTAAGTGGATAACGCGATGGCATTTGAAGTGAACGGTACTAAGCTCAAGTCAAAGAATGAACATCAACTCTGAGATGCAGGTACATCCAGCTGATAAGTCACAAATAGAACAAATCATGCATCCTAGATTCCACTGCTAGTCACTATCCATCTAGGCTTATAAAGCATGTGACTTCAGATAATATCGAGGTAATCCGTACAGTGTGCATACATACCAATAAGAGACTGATCAATTGTAGTCCCAAACATCAATGCAAAGATTTAAATAAACAGTACCAAGTGAATTTCATATATAGATTTTCTTAGGTTTGTTCCACTACAAACTAAAAGAAACCTTGTTTTAGTCACTTCAAACTATATACTACTCAGATACAATAATAGAAGAAACATATATATTGCGTAATACTTCTAAAAGAAATGAATACTCTGAGAAATTTTATAAATAAATACTTGATCAATGAAACAGAACAAAAGAAAAAAGAAGTTTTAACTGCAAAACGAAATGTCTCTGTTTTCCGCTACCAGGATTCGAACTTGGATTAGTGCGACCACAACACAATGTCCTAACCACTAGATGTGATACATGTAGAGAAATATTGAGGCACAAGTTATATAGATGATATGATGATTACATTCGATAAATGTACATAAAGCTTTACTGTTTTACATTTTTATACTCTATGAAATTGCATTCACATCCACCCCCTATCCATTATCTCTTATCTAATTCATATTATTGTAAATATTGGCGTAATTCTTGATTAGACATTTATTGGAATTTAGTGTTATACTTTTATTTCTCTATCATTCCCTGTTCTGATCTTTTCAAATAGTAATACTTTTCATTGAAATCAAAGTACAATCGAAGTTGAACAACTGTTGAAAACCTGGAAGCATTGGCTAGCTGTTTTGTTCAAGTATGAAACTTTCCAACAGTACATATCTACGATCTTTCAACCGAGAGTCAGACACAGGCCTTTCAAGTTTGATTTCTGCTTGCAGTCTCGTAGATATACACTGTTGAAGAGTTCTATACTACTTCCAGATTATTAACAATTGAATATTTTCTATTACGTAATATCTATATTTTAAATAATAAAATAAATTTTCATCTTATCTCTTACCTTTTACCATGTATAGATCTAGGTGATAATGGTTCTGAACGTACTCTGTACACTGTACTTTTTGATCTTGGACTTGTAGAATTAGTTAATTCTGATGGAGTTGGTGTTGGTGCTAATGATTGATGATAAGATGAATAAGGTTGTCGACTATTATCTGTAAAATGATCTATAGAATTTGACCATGGTAAATCAATTGTAGGATAATCTATACCATTTGTAGAATGATGTAATAGATTTTTATGTGAATGATGATTATTTGTTGAGAATATTCCATTTTCATGATTACCATTTAATTGTGGAACTGTTTCTGATCGATTTATTGGTGTTCTTCTAGTTGAACTACTTATAGTACTCCATGCTGATGTACGCTGTTCAAATGGGACAAATAAAAAAAACTATGATCAACTGCCATTCATATTCATCTGTAAGTGTTTATGATTTCTTATGTTCAAATGACATCTCTTCTCAGACAAAAAAACCTCTACTGATATTAATTTACATATGTTTACTAGTGACTGTTTCCAAGAGGTATTTCCTGAAGTTCTGGTGAGAAATAGTGATCAGTGAAGTTCAACTGGGTCTGTTGTGAGATGGTAACTCACTGAAGACAATGGTAGATGTGTTGCTCAATTTCGTGAATCAGTTGATGTTAGATATTAAGGCGATTGGATGCCGACCAGCTCAGTGGACTAGAAATTAAGCGCTCGCGTGTGAGACTGATAGGTCGTGAGTTTGAATCTAGCGAGTCATGATCGTGAATGCACACTGTTCAGGAGTCTCACAATAAGACGAGGCGGCCGTCCAGTGCTTCCAGTTTTTCCATGGTGATCTAGCATCAATTGACTCATGATCTCAACTAATAAAATATGTAATACACGAATTCAGCATTTCTACAGAGGAGGAAGAGGAGAAAGACAAATATGAACCACCATGATGCCATAGTGGACGAGAACACAAGTGGGGACAATCAACCATGTTTGAAAGCAGAATTACAGAACGTCTTAGTAAAATCTGAGAATCATACAGTTAAATACTTCATTTGTAAAATGTTCATTAATTGCCTTGGACTTCATTGTTCCTTTATTTCCATCCCAATCGCTTTCTATTCTCGTTCTTTCCTCCTCGACCTACTGCTGTTAGACATTCTATTACTGACTAGCGTTATATACTACTTATGTCCACATAAGTAGCACACACAATGGTACTAATTCAACTTTATAGTAATTAGATTGACGGTATATTGTAAACAATTACTGAAAGCGTGTAAGTAAACTCCAATAATAGACGTAGTTAAGTAAAACGAATATAAAATGAGTAAGCTTATGATAATAAATGATTAGTGTTTAGTTCAGCAGTTTGCTCCATAGACTGGAATAAACTAGGCAACCATTAAAAACACAGAAGTACTGGTAAGCTGTTTTATCTTAGTACCAAACATTCCGAAAACGTATATCCATGACCACTTCAGGGATAGCATCACTGACACTTCATAACAATAAAATAGATGTAGTAGCTTCGTTTGAAGCATATATCTGATCTCATTTTTGTTTGATCCTTATAGTGTCAATCGTATTCTGTTTATCAAATTACAAGGCAACCGCCTGCCTAACTGGCTGACTAATTACATGAAATATGAATTATACAGTAATGAATAAGTTTTATGTAAGTATATATATCAAGATCAGCAGCATATACCATACTTATATTTGTCAGCATATATAGCATATACCACAGATGCACACCTATGAATGAGTAGCCGAGAAATGCTTCCTACACATTGTTAGTTTTCTCAATCAAATAACAGGTAAGTCATGAGTTTAAGAGGCGTTTATATCAGTAATTAAGTTGAATGACATTAACACTTAACTACCATCAGTTGGGTTAAAGGCAACTCAATAATCATTGAATTATTTTTGTGGTTAGCGTTTTTGTGACGTCAGATGAAGGCGTAGATGCGAGGATTGGCAAACCAAGGACAGCATTCTTACAGTTGAAAAACATATGGAACTCAGAATAACTTTCAATCAATATCAAAGTCAAAATCTTCAATACAAACATCAAGACAGTTCTGCTGTACGGTGCGGAAACTTCGAGAACTACTACCACCATCATCAAGAAGGTTCAAGTATTTCAAAATGGTTATCTAAACAGGATACTCAACATCCATAGGCCGGATACCATGAGCAACAGCCTTCTGTGGGAGAGAAAAAACTAGCTTCTGGCTGATAAGGAAATTAAGAAAAGACGTTGTAAGTGGATAGGACATACATTACACAAATCATCAAACTGCATCACGAGGCAAGCACTAACTTCGAATCCTGATTGGAAGCGGAAAAGTGGAAAGCCAAAAAACACACTACGTCGGGAAATAGAAGCAGATAAGAAAAGGACGAATAACAACTGGAAAGTGCTGGAAAGTATTGTTTGGGACAGGATTGAATGGAGTGTGCTGATGGGCAGCCTATTCTTCTCCACGAGGAGTATCGGGTGTAAGTAAGTTATAGTCATTGAATGACCACGTATGATACATTTTAGATATTCTGTAATTTAAACTACATATCAGTAACTACTATTCAATGTGAAAATCTCATCTTCTTCAAGACTGTAGATACATTTGAATGATGAACACTGATTAATATGAAACCTTGGTCAAATACAGCTTCCTGTCAGTTATTTTTTAACTGTCTTAGTTACCAACTTATCAACATAAAATACACATATTTCTTTAAAAGTTTGTAAAAGAAAAAACCATTTCTTACACCGTTTGATTCCATTTTATAATCAATATCATAATTATTATGATTATGATTATTTGCATTAAATTTCTTCGGAGTTTTCATATTGGGTTTAGGCAAAAAATAATCATTAATTGCAATCAATAATTCAAGTACAGTATCTTTATCCCCTTCCATGATATCTGTAGTAAGATTGTTTTTAGGAAAAAAAGGAGACAGTAGATTACAATTGATATGAAACACAAGAAAATAAAATGCGTATTTCATTATGATAGATTTATAGGGGTTGTTAAATTTGTTTCATATTCGCTTCACTTCCATTCTTTTGCGTATCGTTTTATACTACTTATTTATATTCAGTAAACAGTTGTGCCACCAGAAATTTTTGCAAACTTATGTTGAAACGCCAGTTTACATACATTTATAACGCTTATTGTATTTATCGTTGTATTTACTTTATCTTAATCACTGTAGTAGTTATCTACAGTTTGGTGCATTTGTTTTGCTCTTGGTTCGGGTTTCGCTTTTTGACAAGCTTTTAGCACAGATATCAGCTGTCTTTTGTACTATGGTACGTTGTAATTATTCTTTGTTACCGTTAAAGAAAGCTTTTTTATTTCATATGAAGGGTGCGTTAAACGCCACAGACACCTTACAACTTCAGATTTGTAACTCATTTTGTGTAATATTCAGTAAAGAGCCACTATTCCAGACAAATCACTGTTTTGCGAACTTTGGTTTTATGCGCATCTCAATTGAGTGACATGGATGCTTCGATAGACGTAACGGTGGTAATTAGTGAAATCTACGACACATGTTTCATCCAATTTGGATTTCATCAATAGAATATGTGCTTAGACTTCAATGTTAATGTTCATCAGATTGATAAGTGAACTCAGAATCTCTCAACTCAGATGTCAATGGATTTAGTTAGAGCTACTGAGTCCAGATAACTAGTAAATTAATTAACAAATATGACGATTATTGTTAAGTCAGTTTTACAAACTCTGTCCTCATTCACTTCCCTTCGAATCTTTTGTGTATTGTTTTATCCTACTCAATAATATTCAGTAAAAGGATTTACTTCTAGTAGTTTCTATGCGCAAGTCAGGTGTGTAATATTCTGAAATATTTATATATACTTATAGCAAATGTCGTATTTATCATTATAACTACTTTATCTCAATCATTGTAGTAGTTATTCACTATCTTGTACAATCCTTTAATCATTTTTCCATATATTTTGCTCTTAGTTCGATTTCTGCTTGTTGATAAACCGTTATGAAGTTTAGTCATAGCCAATGGTAATCGTTTTGCACTATCGAAGACTTTTTATTTCAGACAAAAAGATGCGGTAAACGCCACAGATGCCTCACAAGTTGAGAATCTCTAATTCGAACAAGTCGTTACTTTTTGAACTTTGATTTCGCGCAAATTTAATGAGGTGATTTGGATGCTTTGAAGACAATGATGGATATGTCGCTCAATTTCGTGAATTAGTTGATGTTAGATATTAACACCATTGGATGCCGGCCAGCTCAGTGGTCTAGAGGTTAAGTGCTCATGTATGAGAGTGATATATCCTGTGTTTGAATCTCGCCAGTCGGGATCATGAATGCACACTGCTCAAGAGTCCTACAATAAGACAAAGCGGCCGTCCAATGATTCTAGGTTTTCTGTGGTGATCTATCTTCAACTGACTCATGATCTCAACTGTTAAAATTACTATAATATCCACAAAACCCCTTCTGATACTAATTATTAGTAACGTTTTAACTTATCCAGTTGCAAATATTCATGAGTGAAATTTGCTCAGTGATTGTTAATTTATGTGCTTTTTGTGAAGATTATCTCGATATACCCATTGTGTCATAAGTTATTTGTTTTAATAAAGTGAAACAACCAGTGTAACAGACGGAACTGGTCAGTTGAATCGATATTAATAATAATTTTACCGTATATTTACTGAGAAATTAGTTTACGATGTATATAGAATCCATTTATTAAATGCTTTTGAGTAACTACTTAACTACAGCTATACGATTTTTTATCTCAAATTTATTTTCAGTTGATTGCTTTCAGTCCCTTCTAAGCATAACCACTTTTGCATCTGATTTTTCGTTTTATGGTGCGATGCTCTCCAGTATGTCTGTATATAAACCACGTCCGTTTGATATATAAGTATATCGTAAAAGATTGTTGCTAACTCTCAAATTGAAGACTGAACATAGAAAGGAGCTTGCAAATAAAAGGATAATAGGAATTTCATTCCATTGTTGTGACTCATATTTATCACGAGAACACGACTGGTTTAATAAAAACAATTATTATTATAACCAACTGTACCAGTGTTTGTTTTAACGTGCTTTTGTTTGACTGTGCTAATGACAGCTATTTTGTGCTTCCATTCTTATACTTACACTTCGATTGTAACTTCGCGCGAATTCGGTTACCTTCTATAACCAAGGTTGTATCCTGGCACGATCTCGGTATCCTTTCGATGCCACGAGATCGCCAGCAAATAAACCTCGACTTGGTCCATTAATTGTCTTCTGATATTTGGCTTCTCGGGGATTTTATGGATCTATTTGGTTACGTACAACCCTCGCCTTCTGATTCATTTGGCACGTGTTTCTTGGTAGCGGTGTTCATAGTTAACCTCAACTCGACGCCACGCTACACCATCTACTCAAGGTCAGTAGTACTGGTTGAACGTGTAATTTCGGTCAATTCGAAGAGACTAAGCTGTCAACGAGGCAGGAGATGGGGAATAGAATAGATCGGAATCAAGATTCTAATTGTTGACTTGGTCCACGATATATGTCAGTGAGTCAAAAGACTTTACAGCTTTATATTATAATAGACGATGCTCACCCTCTAGAGATTCTAATTCAAACAACTCCTTAAAATATAATTTTACCATTTGCTTATATGCAATCTTAGAAGTGGAGATGGAATGTAGACTGTGATATGCCGTACAAAATTCCTGAGACTATATGCTGTCTTATGATTACATGGTAATTTAAATGCAAGTATTGGCCAGTTATCAATGTGACCTTGATTGTTGCCTGTCACCCTAGCAACATTCAGTATTGCATAAATTTTAGACATTGTTACTTCATTTTGCCAATGAACAGTTTTAAAAACAATCATAATCGTTATTATTTCCAACGTAGTTGACTTCGTCATGATTTAGGTATGAATCCCATTACAGAAAGTCATAATCTCTTCAACAATTTAAACCAATTACTAAAATGTACTACTGTTATAATGAATAAGTAGGCAGTTATAATACTAATAAATTTACTACTCACCTTCAGGTTGAATATTATTGATTTTTACATTCAAACGTCTTAAAACGCTAAACACTTCATGAATATTGTGTAAACGTTCCACAGTTGTAATTGGCTGTAGAAGTAAGCCATCAATTTTTATTCGACCTTCAGTGAGTTGGTGAAAACAGTTAAAATTTATAAGAGGATACAAAATAAGAATGGAAGTCACTGTTTTTCAGTTATCATTACTGTTGTTAATAAACAAGACAAAAGAATTTTCGAATATGCCATAAACATTTTGTGAGGGTCTTTCTGTTGTCAATACTAATGACTGCAAATGATCAGTCTCTTCTTGACATTGACCAAATATTACCATTAAGCTATGAGCATCAGAAATCAAGCTATAAGATGGAATCCTCAGGGCAAAATGAAAAGGAAAAGACCAAAGAACTCATTGCGCTGTGAATTCCAGGCAGACATAAAGAGATTCAATAGCACTTGGTAATAACTTGAAACGAGAATCCACGAAAGAAATGGTTGGAGAGTCCTAGTCGGTGTCCTATGCTCGATTAGGATAACGAGTGTCAGTAAATGAAAAGGTTTCCTATGCAAAATTTAATAATGGTTAGAAGCAGAAACCAGGAAGTACATCCCTTTCAGTTTAAAACTCGTCGGTGTATATCCTATCATCATTACAAAGGGATTAAAACTCTTTATTGTTACAAAAAACATTGGTCCATTGACTCAGGAGTGAGAGGTACTCGATTCATCATCAGATAACGTTTTTTTATTACTATTAAGATAGTACATCTGAAAATTCATCCCAACTCCAATGACACAAGATAAATATAAACTACTGGTATCAAATATCAGTAGTGAACGATTGTCGATATGGCAATATGGTCAATTTTCATTCAAAGCACAGAATAATTTTTGTTAGTTGAAAAGACACTGTAATTCTTAATTTAATATTTTGTACATTCATAGGGATGGAGTTCCTGGAATCTTCACAAAACTCATGCTACCAGTGTGTTTTATTGAGATTTCATCCGACCTTACAGTCTGAAGCATTATCACCGATCTGAGATATCTACACTGATAAGTGACTGGGTAGCAACAAATATCGTCGCTTGCAAACACATTAAACAATACAAATTCTACCAAGTCAATTACACTGGTAGCGAAATTGGGACTTGATTGATAGAATCCAATCAGCAACAAATAACTATTAGAAATTTCACTGATTAAAATCATGAGTCAATTGAAGCTAGACCACCATGAAAAACCTGGAAGCACTGGACGGCCGTTTCGTCCTAGTACGGGGCTCATCAACAGTGCACATCCATGATCCCGTTCAAGGGGTTCCAACTGAGGACCTATGAGTCTCGCGCCAGGCGCTTAACCAACTAGAACAGTGAGCCGGCATCCAACGGTGTTAATGTCTAACTTCAACCAATCCATGAAGCTGTGCTTCAATTGACTTATGATTTCAGTCAGTGAAATTTCTAAAAAGTCTCCACAAAACCCCTTCTGAAAATAACTATTAACTATCGATACATCATCAATACATCATTTATCACGATGGCAACAATAATATTACTAATAGTAATATCTGACAAGAGAGTAACTTGGATTAGTAATAATTTGGCAAATAAACGCACTTATCTCATGTATGTATGTATGTATGTATGTATATGTAGATGTATGACCATTTGGATAGCATCATGTAGTTTATATCGGTAGAAATAAAACACACAACAACAAATTATTGAACCTGTGTGTATGCAATACAATGAATAGTAACCATCATCAATAAATATCGTTATGATCCAATAAAGATAAGAAATTCTTTTAGATGATTATTATTTAACAATATTGAATACATGTCAACTGATCATACATGTAAATCACATCATAATATACTACTAACAGTAGTATTACTGTCATAATAGTAGTGTTATGATTAAAATAATTGATTTACAGAATATCAGTTTATTGTATATTAAAGTGTAAGCAAAAAGAACTGAAACTAGCATAGACACATAGTTCAGTAGTTTAATTTGCTGACAAGGTATCCATTTCATATTCACAATTAGAAGAACACAGTATATTATGACTTTAAACCTAGCTAGTTATCACATGTTGCTCAGGACAGGGTTGGATGGAGAATGCTGGTGAGCGCCCTATGCTCCTTCACGAGGAGTAACAGGCGTAACTAACTAAGTAAGTAAGTTATCACATGATTTATTCTCCAATCGAAATATGACTTATTCAATCTTAATACTGTGCTAAACCAGTGACGTCTGATCGATATGAACAGCTTAGAGTTCTTATTGGTCCTTTTACCTTCTAGCCCTGTCAGTTGAGTCCAGAAGATCAATATCAGCTTCCACTATGCGAATAATATATTTCAAACATACTTGGTTTATATATACCAGAAGGGGTTTTGTGGAGATTGTAGCAATGACAATAGTTGAGATTATGAGTTAAATTGAAGCTAGTGGTTAAGCGCTCGCGCGGGAGACTAATAGGTCCTGGGTTCGAATCTCACGAGATGGGATCGTGGATGCGCACTGCCGCTGAGGGGTCCCAAAATAGGACCAAATGGCCAGCCAGTGCTTCCAAGTTTTCAATGATGGTGTAACATTAATCGGTTCATGATCTTAATCAAAAACTTAATATACATAAGTAAAATGTATAATTGCTAAGTAAGTAAACATCATTGACCGTTTAAACCTAAATTAGTTAAAAACCAGTAAGTGATAGAAAGAACATTGAAAGAACATTAGTGCAAAAAAAGTCATTTATAAACAAGAAACGGTATAACATTATAATCACACAAGATTTCTGTCTTAATTCATCGGTTTTTAAATATATAAGTGGAAGAATAATGAACTCAGAAATGATATATCTAGTTACCTATCAGTTACTTTGAAAAGTAGTGAGTCCATAAATTTTTATAAAAAAAAACCCGGCTCAAGGCGTTCTCGCGGGGGCAACATTGCTAGCAGATTTGAACACCCGGTTTAAGATCGAACTAATCCACTTCTCTTTGCTGAACTTGGATTACTTGCGGTTGATTCTTCGATGCTTTAAAATCATGACGGATTGCCCAATATGCTAATGTATATGAATTGCATGAGTTTCGGTTTGCGTAGTTGTGTATTTAGGTATATGAGAAAAATATGCGCCGTACTCTCAGGAGGAACATTAGCTACAATGTACGCTCTATGTCGAATATAATCAGCAGTCTAGTCCAACAAGTCGAAAGGACGACAAGGAAGAAATGGTAATAAATACCAGGGAAAGGTAACCATCAACCCTTCTCGAGAGTTCTTACGTTCATGTGTATGTCAAGAAGTGCATGAACGAAAGTCTTTGTACCTGTGATATATATGTAATGCTTAAGATACAGTCAATTGTAAGAAATACGTTTGAAAGGAGTGATGACCATCTACACACCAAGACTTGGGGATTCTAACGGTTTCCTTACGAAATCACATCCATACGGTAGGTTCTTGAGTTTGGATAAATGAATTTTAATCCGAAAGATGATGACTGAAACATCATACAATCAATATTCGAAATGCGCTACTGTGATTGCCAGATTTGAATCATTCCATACTTACAATAATGATGATCAATTTTTTATTATTTTTATACAGTTGATTCACAGTTCAAATCTATCTGTATCTATGTATAAACTAATCATAGGATATTACATTTAATCAATAATAATTTCAATGAACGTCCAGTGTTTCCAGGTTTTCCATGATGGTCTAACTTCAACTGACTCATGATCTTAACCATTGAAATTACTATAATATTCACAAAACCCCTTCTGATTCATCAATAATAGTCACTTATATTATGTATTGTTTTCATAATTTCACCTACAGGTTTGTTAATGGCATGACAACTATTTATTTAAAAAAAAAAAACTGTTTTATCGGAAAAATGTCGGATCTACATTCTACCAGAATTGGAAAAAAATGCACATTTTGTTTCATCTATGGATCACTTCATTGAATACATATTTACACACAGAGTGAAATGTTTTTTTGAAATGAAATTCTTTCAACTAATTTCATGATTCATAAATGAGATTTATTTATAAAATAATTAAGATTAATTATCAATCAATCTGTAAGATTTTAGTATTTGAGTCATATGTATCTAACTCCGATTCGATTGTATGAATGATTGTTATTGAATTATTGAAATATACATCCCAACTATCCTCTTATAGAATCAATAAGAACAATAACAGGCGCACGCTATCACACTCAGCCTCTTATATAATCATAATCGACTTAAACCATGTTAGTGAATACTTACATTATTTATTTATGCCTGTTACTCCTAACAGAGCATAGGCTGGTGTTAGTGAATAACAAAAATACATAAGTTAAGTATGGGAATGAATTTCTGATTATGTATATTTCATATAATTATTGATCTAGATTGACGATTAAAGAAACGAAGCGAAACGAAATGATGTATGGTGGAGAAAGCGTATAGACCAACTCAATTTATTTATAGTCAAGCAAAAATAAGTTAAAGACACATGATGAATAAGGTAAGTAATGGCAGAGAAAATTTGTAGCTCAGGTGGATGATTTTGATGGAGTTTTGTTCTCTGAACTGGATGGTTTGGTCGTGGAACTTTCATCATTCAGAAGAACAACATCATCAGAATAAACTTCAGGTAGAAGCTGATGATGTCGTTCAGAAGGACGATGAAAGCTCTACGACCAAAACATCCAGTTCAGAGAACAAAACTCCATCAAAGATAAGTAATACACGCATACACGATCGTATTAAAATACTGATAATTAATAAGCAAATAAGTGACAAGGTCAAAGTGTAAGCTTAAGATGAATGAATGAATGGGTCTGTTCAGAAATTAGAATAATCTATGTGTGCTTGACATAATATCAGCCACTACAAGATAGTAAACAAGATTCTACTTGTTAATATACATTAACAGTCTATTCATAAACTTGAAAATGTGAAGCCTTAGATGATACTCTATTCATTGATATACATAAATCTTGATTCAAGTCCGGAACAGTATCATGGTTTCATATTACTGGTAAGACTTGAACTAAAACAAAGCAGACACTGAAAGATTTGAATTCATGAAAAGTATTAAAAGTAATCTAAAGATCTCTAGTTTTTAACGATACCTTAATACTAGTTATTCTATGCCAAATATCATCTATACATTAAAACAATGCTTCACAACAGTATGAATTCTGAATGTTCTACTGAGAAATGATAATTGATGAACTTCGACCCTGTCGGAAGTCAAACAATCATCCCCAGTAGCATAAGCTGATCAATAGTTATACTATAGTTGTCTATCGTTTGAGAGTTCAAAGTAAGACCTGAACGCCTAGAGTTTAACCTATCACTAAGTTGTTAGTATTCATACCGATCAAGCGTTCCATACTAGAACGAAACAATTGCTATTGAATTCAAAATTTTGATACCGTAAAGAATAAGTCATTAATTTTGATTAGCTAATTAACGACTTGTAAAATCTGTGTACTCATAGATAACTTTAGGCCTTGTACGACCGTGTCCAAGTGTTTGGACCTTGAGTTCCGAATTAACATTCCCTGATCCCAGTTTTGTTTGACCGTACCTCGAGGTAAACAATCCTTCCATAGTATGAGGAATCGATGAGCACCAACTGTTTAAATACTTCTAGGAGCTCGACTCAATTCTCTATTACTTTTAATATTTCTTTTCTCTATGTTATCATCCCTAATCCTATGATATGTAGTCACTGGTCTAGTGATTCGAAAATGTAGGTATATTTTGGCGAATAGTTGAAATCTACTGTGATGACTAACATGATTTAATTTAATGCTAATGTTAACACATAGCGATAAATTCCATCTGAGTACAACAAAAAAATAGACATTAGGACGGGGCTATTCAGGCTATGGCTGATTCCCATTTTGGGACTAAATGCACAAACATACTTTGCTAAAAAGTACTAACTAGTACATAACCTTACTGCCCCTTGTGTAGCGTAGCTCGACAACCAGGATTCCTTGACCAATCCACCACTAAACATGAATATTTATCTTCTATTTTTTGTTGCTAAAACAAATAGACTGATCAATTTCATAAGGCTGTCTAAAGGTATTTTTCTCTTCAAATTTTTTTATCCTTCAATGAATTAAAAATCCGCCTGGAGTCCCTCCGGGGTCTACTGCCGATCCCAAGCCCGGATAAAGGAGGAGGGTTGGGTATGGGGTTAGCCACAACATCCCGTAGAAAACTAACTCGCTAAAAAAACGCTAACCAGAAAATATTATTCAGATTATTATTCAATGAATTGACAGCAACGCAAACATAAACCAAACCGTTGAGTTAATTTGAGAATCAAATATTCTTTTCGATCACATGTCAATTAGGAATAATAAGACCTAGTTATCTATATCTCAGACCAAATGAAATAATAATTTAATACTTCATATTCTTCTTCTACTTACTCCATTATTAAAGTATCATACTGTGTAATTGCATTTAATCAATTGACTAGTCATTTCAGATACTGCACACCCACACACACACATACATACATACATACAGCATAGTTAGTTGGTCAGTCATTCTCATGATAGAAAACTGGGTATTAGTATTCGTTAGCCTAAATTGTTACAATTTACAACACCAAAAACAGAAAAGGATAATCAGAAGGAGATAAAATTTAAAACAAGATGGAACAAATCTGACCGAAGAACGAAAATCTATTTACAATTAGATAATCACTGAGTAGTGACCAATGTCATAAATGTCGATCCCTTTTTGGTGCTGATCAGATTCTATGAATCAAGCTGCGATGTAGCTACTAGTTTAAGTGACTAACCATCTCGAACATTGTATTGGAATGTAAGATAGTTGTTGGAGGTAATCGGCAAAAAATCCTGCTTATCTACGTTTCATGCTATTGGACATTCATTAATAATGTGTACCTGTAATCTTGGGGAAATCGACGTTGTCAGGCTGACACGATCCCATATTGTCCAGCTTTAAAGTCAGAGACGTTACCGTTGAGCTATTCAGGCCAAGAGCGGGCTCATGTAGGACTGCAACATATTTTCAAGGGATTACCTACCACTCAGTTATCAGTTAATAGCAAACAATCACAACTTTTAATAAAGTTTTTTCTCTGGGCTAGGGGGTTTTATCGTGTATCTTTACTGAAAGGTACCTAGCTCCTCTGGTACTTTGATAATGTTCATATGGCTTTCCAGTCACTTAATATGCCGAAAGTGTTGTTCAAAAAAGTTGTATACTATGTGTATGATTTCCTCTGATAAACACGGGTTCTTAGTACCTGTATAGTTACACAATAGGATTAAGTTATTTTGTTCAAGTCAAATAAAAGCTTAGATAGTGTTTGGTCTTCCTGTTGACTACCTTCAACCACCATCTAATCTCAACATAGTGCACGCAATGTCGAGTCACCTAGACTAGTGGCCACATTGCAACTTGGTCGATATCGATCGATCTGCACTAAGAAGAAGTTGACACACATCACATTCATCACTACCCAATGATCAATCAATTGTGACAACATAAAATTACTTTTCTGCAGAGTGTATTTATTTAATCCACTTCTCTCTGTTACAATGCATATGATTAAGCTGTCCAACTTGGGGGAAATCGCCCTAAAAAAAAGTCATTCTATTAAACAAGCAATAATTTTCATTATTTAAAAATCATAACTTACCAATAATTTCTAATAGTATTCCAATAGCTACACCATTACAGATAATTTCTTCAGTTAAATCATACACAATTAATGGAGGTGTAGCCTTAGTTAAGTGATCATTTAACCATTTAATATAGGCTTCTTCTGTTGATTGAGACTAAAAGAAAGGAGAAGTTTGAGGGAACAATATACATACCATTTCAAAAAGTAAAGTCTGGCGAAGAGATGTTCTTTAAAAAATCATTATGGAGATTCAATACATTAAGTTAGTAACTCACTGAAGACAGTGGTGGATGTGTCGCTCAATTTCTTAGATTAGCTGAAGTTAGATATTAACACCAATGAATTCTGGCTCAGTGGTCTTGAAGTTAAGCGTTCGTATGTGAGACTAATAGGTCTGGGGTTCGACTTCCCTGAGCGGAATCGTGGATGCGCACTGCTGAGGAGTCCTACAATACGACGAAACGGCCTTCCATTGCCTCCAGGTTTTCAATAGTGGTCTAACATCAATCGATTCATGATCTCAACTATTAAAATTTCTATAACATCCAACAAACCCCATTCTGACATTAGGAATAGTTTATGTCAGTTTGAAATAGAATTGATTATAAATCTTAAACATTGTCAGTATGCACCTTTTTGATATACTTCATGGTTAAATGGGGGAAATCATTTCTAAATTAAAGAACTATGGAAGAATGTTCATAAATGGAAATTCAGACATATGTTTCATTCTATTTGACACTAGTCAGTTCATCGTATCTACATCTTAATGTTAAATATTATGAAAAAGAAATTACAAATTCCTACGAATACCATCATATCAGTTAGTATCAGCAGATTAATGGAGAACTAGCTGACATTAGAAGCAACAAAAACACCGAGTTCGCTTCTCAGTAGAATAAACATCAAAATTAGGAAACATTTACAACGATCCTTCAAGATTCTACTATTGAAAAAATTGTAGATAACTGCTTTATGGAGAAAAGCTGCTCAGGATACACACATAACAGAAAAGACTAATTAACTGCAGTCCTGAATATCAACGGTGGGAACTTAAAAGTAATTATTAAATATTATTAAAATAAAATAGCAATCTAAGTTAGACAACCAAAGATAACTTGGAAGCACTGAATAGCTACCCCATCCTATTATGGGACTCCACAGTAGTCTACATCAACGACCCTGCCACTTGGGGTCAAATTCAGGATCATCGATATCGTATGTGAACACTTAACTTTTAGACCACTGAGCTGTAATCTAATACTATATATACCTAATTTCAATCCATCTGCGATACTAATCGATCATCCTTCATCATCTTCACTGAGTACCTTTTTTTACACTGGACAAAGTTGAACTCCATTGAATATCTCATGAAATGATCAGTACTAAAGAAACCCACACCAAGACGAAATCACCGTCCAATCCATTTTGGTTTTCAGCAGTTGTCTAACTTAATCTAAATTTCAAAAAACAACCACCATGTTTTCATACTGATCATTAGTAGATATACAAATTATATCTTTCTAGGTACATTTGAACATTGATATTAAAGTAGTTTCATTCTTTCTTTTTTATCAATTTTCAATTTCTTTTTTACTATGATAATGAATAAGTTATTTAACTTTAAAGATTACTACTGTACTTTTTAAGTTTCAGTTTTATCCAAATTGATATTAAAATTGCAACATAACGACTCTACTGGAACGAATTTGTTAATGATGGAGCTTTTTTCTCTGAGCTGGATGGTTTGGTCATGGAGCTTTCATCGTTCCTCTGAATGACATCATCAGCATAAACAAGCTGTGAAATTCGAACACTTCATTTCTATCTGAAGTTTGTGCTGATGATGTCATTCAGAAGAACGATCAAAGCTCCACGACCAAACCATCCAGCTCAGAAAACAAAACTCCTTCAAAATCATCCATCTGAGCTACAAATCTTTTCCACCATCTCAAATTTATTAATACATTCAATGTCTAATTAAATTATTTGTAAAATAATGAGTTTTACACATAAAATAGCCGAAGCCGAAGACTTTTGAAAAGTTTATTAATTTCGGTAGGTGTCCAAAATCTAATACCAAATACACGTTATACTATGCGGATTAAGTACTCAACTGACTACATGAACGAGATATATAAGCGCTCTTATCCTTAGGAAATTAATCCATTTCTTAGTTAATGAAATCCAATTATCCTTTAGATCATTTCTGATTGCTATCGATTGACCATTATCATTAGGTTAATTCTGATGGGTTCTCTATACCAGTAATCTAATGAATAACTCTGAGATGGATTCCGCTTATACTAAAGTGAAAAATCATAGCAGGAATTAATGAATACCAAATCGATCATAGGACAAATATCATTTGTAGGTTTGGAAGATAGTTTCCTTTTATTACAAGTTTACAATGTATGTATTTAGATATTAAGTTAGTGATCTATAAATATACAAAGTCATGAGTATGATTTAGTATCATGTTTTGATTGAATTGTTTAGTACTTTCTGGTTCTTAAGTGATTCTGAGATTTTGTTTAACCCTTTGATAAAATGTAAATGGAGATTGTAATAATTTCAATAGTTGAAATCATGAATCAATTGAAGCTGAGGAGTCCCATAGTAGGACGAAACGGCCGTCCAGTGCTTCCAGACTTCCCATGCTGGTCTAACTTCAGTTGACTCATGATTTCAACTATTGAAAATGTAAACAATATACAAAAAAAACCAACCGTGGTTAACATGTCTTCTGATAGGATATTATGTTACTATATAGAAAATATAAGTGAAGTTTTAACAAATTAGCAATGTAAATTCTCTCTTTCTATCTACTCCTCTATCTCTCTCCCAGACTCTCTTCCTGTTTCTGTCTCTCTCACATTCTATATTGTCAACATTTTCAGACAAAGAGATGAGACTATAATTTTTGAATGACCTTTGAGTGACGACGCTAAAGTGACCTTAAGTGTTCACCTCTTAATTAGGACCAAATGAAGATTATAAACCTGTGTGAGCAATTAGGATTATGATTTACAGTTGATGGTTAAGGTTAGAAATTAGATTTAGGGTTTTCATCACGAACTGTAATCAGCTGAAATGTTACAACTCTATTTATCCGAATGGATGAATGAATTCCGTGCCAAAATCCGAGACCCGTTATCTTATACGTGATTGGTTCGTCCATAAATTATAGTCTCATCGGTAAAAACTTTATTAGAATTGATGTAAAATAGTCAATATGTAAATTACATTGTGTGTAAATGAATCCATACATTAATCATTATTATAGGGAAAAATAACACATATTATTTTTGTAAGCAATGATGGATAGTGGCTAGCAGTGGAATCCAGTTTGACGCACGCCTCGTCCTATTTGGGGCTCGTCATCTGGATGTACCTGCATCGCCGAGTTGATGTTCACTCTGGGACTCGAACCCGGTGCCATTCGCTTCAAACGCCATCGCGTTATCCACGCAGCTACTGAGTCCTGATAGCCGCTTGCTTGTGCAATGGGGTGAACAGACTGATCAATTGCAGTCTTAAACCTCAATGGGAAGATACTAACCAAACAATACCAAGCGAATACAAATTAGATTACTTTAAAAGTTCGTTTAAATTTTACTAAAGCATAAATTTTGAAGTATTGATTATATTTGTTGTTGTGTATGCTACTTATTTTAAGAGTAACAAGTAGTATGTAATACCATTCAGAAGTGGAATGCATGAAGTAAAAGATTGAATTGAAGGGAACAAAGGAAGGGAAACAGGAAGTAATTGTAACCACACCTGAATTAGAAAGAATCCTATAGCATATAAAAGACAACTGAAGGTAGGTGTGCAAGTGATGTAATTGAATAAGAGGTACTGCAATGAAAACGTCATTGAAGGTAAACAAAAATTGACCAATTGAGTGATTGTAGTTATTGTGATCATGAGACTTTTAGTTTTCTCAACTAACATGGGACAATGAAGTGTTTACTAGATATTTGACAGAATAACAGTTTTCTGATTCATATCATGTACAATATGGTATATAAATGTGTTTCGTTGTAGGTGTGGGCATGTGAAAATTCTTTACCAGGGATAAAAACACTTATACGATGATTTTCAATGGCTTTTTGTTGTCTGATAACAATTTGTGAATAAGCTAACTTTATATCATTATGAACAGGGGTTCGAATTAGCCCTTTGATGATATTCGGGATTAAAGTTTTGGCCAGTCTTTATTGGTATATATGAACACTGTACGGATTGCTTCGATAAAGCTAACTTGTCACAAGTTTGTACGAAATAGGCTGATTGTGGAAAGCAGTGAAATCTATGGAGCGTAGTATTTCATCATACTTGAGACTTTTCAGTTTGATATACCTCCACCCCAGTATTGATAATCGAACCGAAACTCGAACCCAATACCTTTCGTTGTAAACGCTAAGGTTTCATAAGCTGAGCTTCTGTTACAAGAAAACTACTAACTGATTAAGAAGCTAAAAGGTTTATCTCATGATTATCAAGAATTTGATTTATCTTTTTATTATTATTCATAACTGATTTTTTCAATCTACATTTCTTAGTACACAATTACATGTATCTAATGAGATGCAAATAGAACAGAGCATAAATTCTTCATTCCATTACCAGCCACACTTTTGTAAACAATTAGACTTCAGAAGGGGCTTTTTGTGGATATTATAGTAATTTCAGTAGTTAAAATCATGAGTCAATTGAGGCTAGACCACCGCCTCGCGAGATTCGAACTCAGGACTTATCAGTCCCACGTGCAAGCACTTAACCTTAAGACCACTGAGCTAGCCAACCTCCAACGGTATTAATGTCTAACTTCAACTAATCCAAGAAATTGAGTAACACACCCACTATTGTCTTCAGTGCAGGATCGTGGATGAGCACTGCCACTGACGAGTCTCACAATAGGATGAAACGACCTTCCAGTGTTTCCAGGTTCTTCATGGTGGTCTAGCTTCAACTGACTCATGATCTTAACTAATAAAATTATTATAATATCCACAAAACCTCCTTCCTTATATACTTTAATCTTTTGAAGCCATTATTAGTTTAACTGATAAGATTTCTTCTCACTAATTTAATGGAACGATTAACAGAAACAATACGAAAAATACAACAAAAAAAGACATTTGT